AAATGGAAAGATAAAGAAGCGACGTCTGTTCGGTACAGTTGACTTCCCCTCATCACTTTTCGATTTCATTAATGTTGGATTCATGGAATGCGTTGAAGTTGGAGACAACAGGCGCTGATCTGCTCTAGCTGAACGGAAAACAGCAGCAGTAGCAGACTGGCTACGCGAAGCACCTGGAAAAGAAAATTCATAAATAAGGATCAATTTATAAGTTAGTTCTTGCGGATTCTTGAAATAGTAGAATAGAAGGATTGGTCTTAAGTGTCATTTGCCGGAGGTCATTTTATACGATGTAGTTGTTTGTGTTTCATCCTTTAGCTGTAAACACAGATCGACCAATGCAAAAAAACAAAAAACAGGCATAGCAACTAAATCAAAAGTCCATGACAACTGGAACATACGCCAACTGTACTTAAACGCAACTAGGCGCCTAAAATTGCAAAGATTATTAAAAATTGAAGTGCAGGATGAAGCAATTCTGGCAGGCCCTCTTTCTCAAGAATATCTACTTCAAATTTTTGCCAGGCTACAATGCAAGCAAAATTTTTGGCAATATTCAATAAAGTAGCTAACCGCTGCTGCTTGGAACTGCGTCACGTGCTGCAGGAGGTCGGCGCAGTACCGAGCGAAAACCAAAACTGTGAACTTGCTGTGTTTCCGGTCTGAAAAATTCAGCAAAAATGAATAATTTAGAACGTTTCGTTGATCTGAATCGCATAATATTATGTAATTTTCAGTGATTTTAATTTTAAAAAAAAGTGCAATTTTATATATAATTTTAGGAAAAACGATGCTGCTAGGACCTCAGAAATGACGAAAAGAATACATCGGTAACGCAAAGTAACGCTACGATGAGTGAGAAGCTATCCTTAAATGGCCCAAATACAGATTAAATATTAAATTAAATTAAAAATCAAAAAATCAAAAAGACGAAAAATTTAAAAAAATACAAAATACATAGACCATCATTTTATCTCTTCACGATACCGACAATTCGAAGGATTTTGGTAATCTGCTGAACTGGGGTGCATTCAGGCATTTTAAAAAACTATCTGCGTGATAATTGAGACATTTTTGCAAAAATCGTGGAACTACGACCGTAGCCACATACAAAACAAATTCCTTATACGATACTATATATTTATTGGTCAAGGAGGAAACATATTGATCCCAAGGATTCTGT